TTAAAATTTCGTTTCATTCCATTCCAATGTAATGTACGTTCTGCTTTAATGCTTTCGCCTTTAAATTTTCTCTGACTAATTTTAAAGTGATGTAGTTCCACTTATGTACATATGAATGTTTGTGATCCCAATCGTTTTCTGCCGGCAATGCTGGTCAACAAAGTGGAAAAGTGGAAAATGAAAACATAATGGAAATATGGTAATGATATATTTATCAACAGTAAACAGAAGACCGGCGACGACGATGATGCTTCCGAGCGCACTCACATTGGCCTGCACGCCCACAGCAAACTACAACCCCACGGACACGGACACACTAAAAGCTATTTTAGGGGAAAAACATCCCCAGCAGCAATTGTCCTCTTACTCGTAAACTTCGCGTCATATTCATTTTTTTTTTTTTTTGGGGTTGCAATGTTTGCTTACATGTCGCCGTAAGCTTATACAAGTATGCCTGCATTGTTGTTGAAATTTTCTGACATGCAATACCGCATGTGCCGCAAACATTTTTAAGCATATTATCCATCCCCCAATTGAGGAGGCAGTGAAATCAAGTTGATTATGTTTAAAAATCTGCTGTGATTGCACAGACGTACTCACTCCACTCTAATTTTCGGGCATTTTCGAGAGTGTTGACAAACAAAACAGAAAACTTTCTACACACATTCAGTGCTAGTCGTAAATATGTATGTGTGTGTGCAGCCAAAATAAGGAAGCTCAAAAGTGGCTCTTCGACGTATACTCGCTACGTTTATCGTTTCTCGTAGCTGCCGGCTTTTCCGCCACATGTTTGGCTAGTTATGCAGTCGCAGACATTTTTGGCCACTGCCGCTACTACACTTTCTTCCCGCTGTCATTTGTGATGTTTTAATTTGTCCTATGAAAATATTTGCACTCGTCCGTATTGAAAAGTGTAATTGAATTAGAATGAGCTTTGCAGGCGTGCACACATATGTACATACGTACGTACGTATATAGTTATTGTATATCAATGTGTAATGACAAACAAATCGCATCCGCTTAGACGTGTTATAAAAAGAGTGAGTATAAGAAAAAACGCACAAGTCTTTCTGATAGTTTTATTCTTATTTTTTTTCGGTATGCATTAGGGCGGCTTTAAACTTCAAAAATTCCGGATTTGGCCCCAACACATTTACCGAATTTCCTTTTTTAATTACTTGTATATACTTATGTATATTTGAAACCCTCTTGAAAACTAGTCCATCATATTATAGTACATGCCAATTTCAAAATTTTCTACATTAACTACATACACTGCACTGTTTTCACTTGACGATTTTTAGTAATAACTCGACTCTAGCGCTACCCGGCCGCTTTTCTTTTGCAATAGTATTGACCTCTCCGTTACCAATACAAATCTCGAATATAAGCCAAATCGGATCATAAGAAAGATTTTTAGTAATAAGCGCCACCTGGCGGAGCAAAATGTGAATCTGAACTATCCAGAGATCCACTCAAGCGCACACAAATATTTCGTTAAAACTTCGTTGGTTTTGTGTGTGTGCGTGTGTGGTCATATTTATTGTACGTAACTTTGTTTCTATTTTTTATTTGGTTAAAAAGTATAATAAAGTTTGACGTTTTTTTTTGGCCGAAATTACGATTTTTTCAGGGTAAAATGGCGATCGTTCAGCAAAAGCTTTCGGCAACGCTGGCAACCACGGTTATGTGCTGGCAATAAAAAAGGGCGACACAAATACTTAACTACATACTTACTTTAAGAACTTTATTGAACACAAAGGTAAGTGAGGTAATGGATGAATTGGTGGTACTAACTCCTCGACAGGAATAGAAAACTGAACAATTTATTATTATCGAGGAGAATGGCAGGGATCTGCTTACTAGCAAAACTATTCAGAGAAAAGTGTGGAACGCATGATTTTCGAGTGTCCAGCTTTCAAGAGGCAAAGCTCGAATATTGCCACATGTATTTTTAAGAATTTACAAATTTTTTATTGATTAATGCATAACAAGTTAGATATACAAGTAGATCCTACTTTCTAATTTTCTCTTAAATCTTAACAAAACGTAAATAAAGCAAAAAGTCATAAAAATACACGCATAGATCTTTTTTTTTTTAGTCGGAAAAAATCCTTAAAATATTCGCATTCCTCTCTGCACATGCCTTCGCATTGAGGCTTTATTTTTGTTTTTTTACTACGAATATCAATTCACATAAAATATTTCCGGCTCATCATAAAGCAACACCATTAAATCCTCTGCACAATCCCAGCTATGCCACTACTGCCAGCAATTTTTTTTTTTTCTTTTTTTTTTGACTCTTGTTTGCCACATTCCTTTGCTTAGTGGAATTTATTTTTGCTACCTTTTCTTTCTTCTACTCCTTGTATTTGTGTAAGTGTGAGATATTCGATTGTTTGCAAATTTCCCTCGGGGATTTTGCAGCTCAAACGTTTGCTGATTACATTTAATTCCGTAATCGAGTGTTCACAGTCGTCGCATGGTGGCCTGGTAAACCTGCTTTGAAAGTGGAAATGTTGTTTTTGTTAGATACTACCACCAACGTTGTTTGTTATTGTTGTTATTGGCGACCCTCTCAGCTATGGAGTCGTTAAATATTTGTTCAGTTTGATGACTCTAGGCGGCGAGTCCAGTGAGCAGAGGTTAATTTTTTCTTAGGGGTTTTTATGCTTTTCCAGTATCCCCTAAGCCGTCTGTAGGGTATGTATGTACGTACATATGTAGTGTCTCGATATGATGAATGTTGTCCAGAGATTGCCATGATTCAACTCAGAAATTATGGCAACATATATACATACTTGTATACATACATAGTTTCCCATTAATAGTAAAAAAAAAACTATTAACAAGACTAGAAACAGAATGCAGGAATAAGCGGAAGCTGATTTTGATTTTATTACTTTCTTTTTGTGGTCGAGTAACGGTACACTGTGTGGTGTGGTGTAAATGATTGCATAGAAAAGTGTAATGTGTCGAAGAAACTTTATCTTTGTTTTTATTAAAGCAAAGATATAATTCCATTAAATTTTTCAGATCCCGAACTTTTTCGACACTAAGATCTTTAAGTTTAATTGTAAAATTTGCTAATTTCATTTTAAAGTTTTAGCCGCATTCCTAAAAAGACATTAAAAAATTAAAAAATAAAACAACGTTTGGTCATTAAAAATAAAAGTTTAAAAATATATTACAACTTTCAATGATGCATGGCACTCCGATTTTAAAAGCCAATTGCCTAACGTTGCTGAACTGAAAAAAAAGAATTACAAACAAAAGGCAAGTACTCAACCACTTTGTCGAAAAAAATAAATAAAAATAAAAGCGTGAGGTCTAACAACAAAAGAAGCCAATTACAATGACCATTGAAGCAATCGACAAGTGATATTGTCGCCAGCATGAGTATGTCCTCGTATTTGACCGAAGGACGCAAGAAGCCGTGGCTATGCTGGCTGGCGGCAGTCACAGACAAAGCCGCATTCCAAACTGCGTTGCACACAATCGATGCTTGAATGGGCGGCTACAACAATGGAGACAACAACAATAATGGCCATTGGCGAACAACTGGTCAACGGCCAGATGGCAATAGTTCTATAAATGCACGCATACATACATACATATGTATCTATACATCTAAGTAAACGGTCATGATATTCAATGAGGAAGTGACCGGCAATTGGGGCAGAAAGTATGTGGTTCAAAGCATTCACAAAGCTCAGTAATCGACATACATACATATGCATATATGTATGTATACATGGGCGTAGCCAGGTAGGGGCAGGGGGTGCTCGACCCCTCCCCCCCTAACTTTCAAATTTCCTTATATATATATAAAGTAGTACCCTGAAATGCCAGCTTAATAGGGTCGAGCCCCCCCTCCTAAATTTCATTCTGGCTACGCCGATGTATGTATATGTATGTGTATATGTAAACATACTGAGCGATATGCTTGTACAGCAGTTAAGTATAAAATGTATCTATTTATATACAATTGTGTAGCTATATACATTAGTATATGTGGGTTAACATTAGGGTGGTCCAAAAATTAATGTGAGAAAGTAAATTTTTATGCTCTCACCAACCAGGATTGTTCTATACCGAAAAATACGCCCCTATTTTTTTTTAATTTGACCCCAAAAAATATTTAGAGGTCGCTCAAAGCGCTCAAAGTTGCCATGTATTTTATATGGGGAAAAAACACTTTTCGTTGAAAATCAATATTTTTCGAACGGAAATTTCTGTTTCTCTTCAGGATTCCCAATAATAGTATCAAATTGTTTATTTAACCATTTTTTCATAGTAACCATATTTTATAGATCCGCCAAAACCCCCAGAAAATGCCAGAAAGGGCAATGTGAGATAAATAAAAAATCTTTAGTACTAAAAAATTGTTAAATAAACAATTTGATATTGTTATTGGAATTCTCCTGAAGAGTATTAGAGTTTACCGATCGAAAAATATTGATTTTCGAGAGTTCTATACTATTCCTACGAAAAGTTGTTTTTTCCCATATATGTAAAATACTTTGAAAACTTTGAGCGCTTTGAGCGCCTCTAAATATTTTTATACCCGAGCGCACTTGTGCACAAGGGTATATTAATTTTGTTCACATAACGGTTGTTTGTAACAGCCAAAACGAATCGAGATAGATATAGACAAATGTATACATAAATGATCAGNATATATGTATCTCAGTAACCGTTCTACCAATTTGTACCAAACTCGGTGTGGTTATTGTGCTTGCCACATATAAGCAAACCGTTGAAAATTATTGAAATCGGACTAAAATAACGGCCGCTTCTCATATAACGGTAAATTTCAGAACTGCTTGAAACTTCAAAATCGAAATTTAAGGACTCTAATTTACTCCAAATTGATACGCCCCGGCTTACCATGTAGCCGTAGCTTTCGTTAAGGCGAAAAACATATATTTAATACGTGCGCCGGGTATTTAATGTTCGGCTCTGCCCGAACTTAGACTTTCTTACTTGTTTGATTTAAAATAAAAAAAATGTGGGTATGTTTTTTCAATATAGAGCAGTCCTAGGGGGTTGGAGCATTAAAATTCCGACTTTCCTTATTTTGGACCACCCTAGTAACCATGCAAGTCCTCCTGTAATACATAATGGATTTCTATTTCATGCGTTCGTAGTTGCGTGGCTATTTTGTATGGAAGTGTCTACGCGGAAGTGATAAAAAAACGACAATGATCTCTATCGCAGGATTTCTTTTATGTTCAACTCAAGTGGCGCAATTCATTGAAGGCGAATTACGTAGTGGGTGTAGAGAGAAAGAGTCTGGCCTAGATGTGGCACGGTGTACGTTTAAATATTTTAGTGGTATTTGCATCTTAAAATACTATTACTTTTTGATAGTAATAAATAGTACTTAGGCTACATTATTGAACACATTATCGTAAAATTTTTAATACGAAACACTCCAATTAATTCGTTTATTTTGAAAATGGCATAAACAACCCATCCAAAATAACCCAGCCAAAGATAACACTAATTACATTTTAACGGTATCCCTTCATTAAAAAATTTTGAGAAATATATTCTTTACCTGAATCAAGATTACCCCCTATCCGCGTACCAGGATAAAAATAACCTTATACCCGGGTATCCGAATAAATTGCCATTTACACAGATCATAACTCCGAAGAAAAAAAACAAACAAACAATTCCTCGTATCGTACGTATTAGCATATTTCTTATTTAGAACGCATAAAAAATTATAAGCCAATCGAAGGTGTGACACCAAAGTAACGTCTTGGCAATAAAATTGTTAACATTGAAGACTTAGCCTTGTTTTCAATAAACTTAATTGATGTATTTGAAAAAAAAAGTTATATACGTACATTCTTATGTACATATATATGTACGTTGCCTTGAGCAAAATAGTTTCCAGAAAGAGGCGGTATACTTCCCTTTTTACTCGTAAAATAAATTTTTAAATTGAATTATGCATTGTGATAAATTGATTTTCACCAACAATTTACACCCTCCACCTGTCAACGTATGAAATTTATATGTGTAAATGAGTTCTCTTTATTTTTTCAACATCTACGTGTACTGCAGCTCACTTTACTCTAACTGGCGCCACCCTTTTGCACATTTCTAACTAATCGTCATTATCGCTATTGAAGGCATTTATTTGCGCAAATACGCTTCCTCTAAGCTTGTTTGTTACTGATTTGGCTGTCATCAGTCATCATTGCAGCTGTCAAATTTGGCATTTGACGGAACTGCAATGTACAAAGTGAAGTTGGTGTGAGCAAGTGACTTATTTGCTTTGTGTGCGTATATATTATAGGTTGGTAGGTAAATACATACGTGTGTGTGCATTAAGGTGAAGTGAAATAAGTTCTGAAAAAAACTTACAAAACTTTATTTAGTTTAATTTCTAATTTGAACCTACTGAACACCGATTTGGTATCCACTTATTTTTCCAAAAATAGTTTTCAAGATATAGATGAAAACTCTGCGCTCGGGGTGTTTCCCGAGTGTTATTGCTAACGAAAAACGTTCTTTGCGGTATTAAATGGATACCAAATTCGTGTTCAGCAGGTTCAAATTAGTCTAAAAAAAAATTTAAAAAAGTCAGTTCGAAAGCTGTGAATGGATTTTTGTACGTGTTTTTTCAAAACCTAATCCTATCGATGACACCTCTATATATAAAATGAGGCAAATAATATTTAGCATCCTTAGTTTTGGACAAGAAAGGCAGCTTTCTGCAGACATTTTTGAAAATAGTGATTTTCGAAAAAGCGTAATTCCACCTAACCTAACCTAACAACATTTCTAATCTAAATTATATATTAATATATCACAAGCTTCAGTAGTCATGGCAACAGTAGCTTTTCATAAAAATCACCAATATTTTTGCAAATTTCACAGCGATCCAGTAGTATTACAATTATCAAAATGAAAAAAAAACTATGGGAGTGCCCCGTTTTCTAGGATGACATTTTTTCCCCCATACAAACAATTGGACCACTCTAATGTAGTCAGATACATACATATGTTTGTAAGCGGTAATGGCACGCAAACTGTTTGTGACTGCCACATTTACATGAGGTACGCATAAGTCAACACCAATCGTGTTTTGTAACAATTTGAAATTTTGACAGCAGGGTATATGCATAAGAGGTAAATTAAATACATATCTATACATATACAAATGTATTGGTATGCAGTTAAAGTGCAAGCGCATATGAAACGCCACGCAACACTTCATTAAGTTTCCCCAGTTCTTTTGTCGCGCTCCCTCCTCTTCCTGTGAATTTTCGCAGTACTTTAAACTCTAATTGTACTGTTGCGTGATAAATACGTCGATTAAGTGCAAATAGATTAGGTCATGCTTATGGAATTTCAAAAGCAAAACACTTTCAAGCGCAGTGAAATGTAATAAGTGAGTGAGTTTGTGAGTGTCTGAGAACGGCTGAGCGGCTGAGTGGGGGATATGGTGTATGGCATGTAGAAAGTAAAGGAATAAGTGCCGTGCTGCAATGCGTGCGTCTTGGAAAAGGGTGTTTTTAGCAACGCTCATACTTAGCGATAATGATAGCAACAACGAAAAAATAGCTCTTACTTATCTTTAGCGCCGATAACAGTCAGCCACCCCAAGTTGCATGTTGCTTTTTGATGTTGTTTGCCAATCTTTGCATCTTACGTACCTCGCTCGCCTTCCTTCCTGCCTTCACCTCTTCAATTTCTCATTTAAAATTTTAAAATTTTCAACGCTTCGTTATTGATGCTTTCATTGCAAATTGTTTTGTTTTTATTTATTTTTTTTTTTTGGTTAAATAGCTCAAGGGCTGTCCCCGCTGTGAATGCTTTGCATAACTACCCTTCTGATCCATGCATATACCATCTTCTTCTTCTTCGTCTTTCGCTGTCATAATATTGTGTGCTTTCACCCTCGCCAACTCGACTACCCTTGTTATATGTAAGTTTAAGGTTTGTTAAATATTTTTTAACATTTTATCGCCAAAGGCTGTTTGTTTACCAAAATCATTTGTAACATTTGTGATTTTCAGGTCTAATTCGGGGCGAACTTTGATTAATTGGTGTTGTTATTAATCTGGATATGGGTACATGTGTACGTATGTATGTTTGCTTGAAGGGTTGCTAGAATATTTGGCCGTAGGCTATTCAGGATTATTACAAATCAATGGGTGTTAGCGGCTCAAGCAAATCCAATAAGAATTGCATAAATTATAAAATTTATTATTATCCAAATTCAAAAAAAAACTATAAAAAATATGGGACTTGCAAATCCTATAAACTTGCACTATCTTCCTATAAGAAAGAATTGCGCAAGTCCAAAAGAGCTAGTTGGCGAAATAACAGCGGGGAAATAAAAAGCTTCCCAGTGGCAGTTGCCTCCAAAAAGCTTGAAATAGGGAACCCAAGAATAACTAGAATCGATACTCTAAAGAAATCAAAGGGTCAATATACTCAGCATCCGGATGAGACTTGCAGACTTCTGCTAGACACTCACTTCCTGAGCTGTAAGGCAGGCTATTATCGACCAGAATTCGGGGTCCCAACAAGCCATATTCCCAGTAGATGGACTTAGGTTAAGGTCGCACTTTACCGAAGACAAGTAAACCTGAGCAGATGCTTTCATCCTACAGACCAATTAAGCTCAGTTCGTTTCTCAAAAAAGGCATGGGGAAAATCTTGAATCAAAACATCAGAGAAGTCAACCTAACGAAACGACCACTGAACAAGAACTTGTTTGACTATCAACTAAGCAAATCCACTCCGACTGTCATTCATAGCCTTACGTTGAAAATTGAGAAGGTTTTGGAGTCTAAAAACATAGCCTTCTGTGTCTTCATGGACAACACATCCTTTGGGGCAATAAGAGTTTCCCTGCTATGCAAAGTTGTGCTTTCCATGCTAAAAACAAGGAAGAACAGTATGGAACTGGGAGGCACGGGTAGATTTTTGTGGACTATGGTTATAGCCAAACTCCGCTTCCAACGGAATGACCATGACTTTGATACACAAGGCTATGCAGGGGATCTGCGTAGCATGGCTGCGCTACGAAATGAAACGGCATGTAGGCAGTAGGCCCTGCACATTACACAAAGGCGATGTTAACCAAGGATTATCCATTAATCCTACTAAAACTACTCTGGTTCCGTTTACCCGGAGAAAAAAGTTATCCATTACTCAATTTATTTTGAATGGCGATAGTATAGGTTTTTCAATTGAAACAAAATACCTGAGAGTGAGGCTGGATAAGGCACTCACCTGGAACGCACAAGGCGATGAGAGCCTTCTTCGCTGGCATGCGACTTTTTGGAAAACTTGGGGCTGTCTCCCAAAATGACGTACTGGCCATTTAAGAGGCGTTTTAATCCTATAGTCATCTTTGCTCAACTAACTACTAGTACAAAATTAAGCAAAACTGCAACGGATTTTGTCCTACTAGTGCTCTTGTGGGTACTAAATACTTCCGAATTAAAAGCCAGACTTATGACAGGATCCATCCAGATCTTAATGATATCTGAAAACCAGAAATTTCTAGAAATTTTAAGAAAATGTATGTATATTATTTTGCTTTTTTATTTAAAAAAACGCCGAAGCCAAAAATTGCACATAAAAAAGAGAATGATTTACATAAATATACTTCAAAATTTTTTTCGTGATTTTGACTAATCATGTAATTGTTCAAATCGTTATATATCGGGTTCTGCTTATCGTAGAGACTTCATCTTAACTTCGCTTTGAAGCTAAAAAGCTGGCTTAACAGTTATCTGTATATGTATATAAGATCGTCGCCTGGGTAAAAGATGGTGATGATTGCCCTAAAACTAACTTAATTATTAAAGTTGAACTTTTTGAAGTTAAATAAAGTGAAATAATTGAAGTGAAATAAAATCAACAAAAATTTGGAAATAAAGTAAATAATGCTATTTCCTCATGGATGGTGATTCAAAGAAAAAAATGTTGTTCTTGTATCGTAAGTGAGATAAGCATGTTTTTACAATAATAAACTGTCCACTAAGTGTTGTTTCCATAGATGAACTGGTATAATTTCACATGCAATTGGAAGTGTAAGAGTATTTAAATACGACAGATTTCCTCGTAGCTAAATGCCGCTAAAGGTGTTCTTACGCGATATGTATTTGCATCTGTAAATGTGATTTTTTCAATACATGTATACTTGCGTATATCTGTCAAATTCAAAGTCTTTATTTAACTATTTAAAAACGCACAAGGTTCTTTATAAACGAAATAAACTAAACTCAGATGATTCTATCTGTGTGTCAGATGAAAATAGAAACATTTCTCTTTCATATGTATGTGCATCTGCTTTGTACAGAAACAAATCTAATTTACCTTTACACGATATGTTGGCATTTCCATATGTAAAAAGTGGCATGTGCGCATGCAAATACATATCGTGTAAGAACACCTTAACTAGTATAGTTTTTCTATTTGACATCTACCTTTCTCCAGACCACAGTATACAGTAATCCAGATAGCCAAAACAAAAAATGTAAATATGCTTATTTGACATTTTGTTTGAATGTATTGGTTGATATTTTTTCACAGTTGTCGTTTTCGGTAACCCAAACGAAATCCAATTTAAATATTTTCTCATAGTGAACAACATTTTCAAGTCACATAAAATAAAATAACGAGAAAAACACACTTCCAAGCAAATCAAGCGTGAAGCGTAAGCGATTATAACCGGATGCAGTTCCTACATAAGTCAAACCGTGTTCCGAACACAATTTTGAGTGAGTAATGGTGGGCTGACTTTTTAAAATGGTCCCATCGATTAGGCGGTAAAGCAAGTATTACTTAGCTTAAGGTAGAACTCTCTAATTTTCAAATGCGCGAAATTTGTATGTATTTGTTCAGCCGCTTATTCACATTTGAAAGAGGATAATGCATGAATTAATGCAAGTAAAGATGGTTTATGCAGATGGGCAAGCGCGTTTGTTAACTGTATAAAATGTATGTACATATATATATACCAAAATATTCAGAATTACGAGATGAACTAGTTCAGCCCTCTCTGTTTGTAAACACGCTAACTCGAACAAAATTTAAATATTTTAACGAAAGTCGGTGTCGAAGTTGGGTATAAGTTAGGTTAGTGTTAAACTTTGGCGAAATCTGCCAATAACCACGCCCACTTCCCACGTAGTAATCAAAAATATTTTTGTTTTATTAGTATTGTTTTACGAATTTTGCTGTTCAAATTTACATGTCAAATATATCAACAAACATTTGTGGGTACTTTTGCATCAGTCGCTGCCTATGGGTTAATGACAAATAAATCCTATACATTCAAAATATTTCGTGTATTAATTTTCAAATAAGCATATTGTCAATGGCTGGTTTACTGTATACTGTGCTCCAGTCTAGATGCGAATAATTTTCTGGGCTGAGCTAGGTTAAAGATTTTACCTTTTTCTAAGAAAATTACTTTATTTTTATTAAATTCTGTGCGTCTGTACTGTCGTAGAATTCCATAAGTAACGTAAGTAAAAATTGGGTTAGGATTGGGTACCGATACGAGTATTTTGTTCCTGGTATCGAACGAAAAGTATCCCTAGATGTGCTACTCCATTGAGCATTTTAATGCGTTTATACTTTTTTTTTATCTAAAATTATTTCAATCTCGCCACTTGTGTTGCATAATTTTCGCATATACATACATAAATAACACAAAACGGCAAAATAAAAATAAGCAAAATTTCCCAGATGTACTTAATGAGATGCCAGGCGTGTCGCTTTGCGGTCACGCAGCAGGCAGCAGAGGCGAACGCTGAAATGCCGCCATGTGGGGGGTTAAAAGCGTTGGTATGTGCTCTCAAATGTTCGCAACTTTTAATAAATTCCAGTAACCCCACTACGCTATGCGCTCAACTACGCCTCTCTGAAGCAATTTACCCGTTGCCAACTGTCTGCCTAACAACGTTCACTTTGAAACTTACCACAAATGTGCACAAGCATACAAACTTATAATGCAAAGTTGCTTACTGTCTTTGCCGTTTTTTTTTTTTTATTCGTGCAGCGCGCTATAAGGTAAAAAAGTACAACAAAAACACACAAGTATCTAACATGGCAAGATGACACTTGGAAATAAACATTAACCGCAACTGTGATGCGCTTGAAATGCGCATTTATGCAACAGACAGTCAAAAATAAGAAGAACAAGCAACATTAAATGAACCAAATAGTATGTCTGAGTAAAAAAAAAGTGTTGCAGACTGGAAGTTGCAAGCAAGTATGTGCACTTTTTATGTATATGAACTTCGTAATCTGCGCAAGATCTTTTACGCTCGCACACTCATCCGCCACAGGGGGGATTGCATGAATACTTTTGCTTGCCACTTGTTCTTGCACTTGCATGCCATAACAGCGCTTCCATTGCTTGCTTCTGTTTAAATCTGTATGCATGTATGTTGATGCAATACTCTCTAAGGCGTTCCTGAAGTTGCTTGTTAAGCCGCATAAATACACATAAATATGTAGATGAAAGGCATTAAATGCTATGTTTATGCAGCACTTGAGACCAAAAGCGGCATTTTTTGTTTAACAAAAAAAAAAAATTTAAAAAATGCGAAAGCGTTGTCTAGTGGCGTTAAAAGCATATGTGATGGTTTTAAATTTGATACTTTTATAACTTTTTTTAAATGTGTTTAAAAGCGTTATGGAGCTAAGAAAACCCTAAATTGTTATACCGTAATTTAATATTTAATTTCATTATTTTTGATTGAGAGTCGAGAATTTATAAGAGCGTATGAGTATGAAATTGACATTGTCGGTCTTAACATCAGGGCCTCCAACTTTCAAATCTGAGTAAAAAAGTAAGAAAAAGTGGTTGGTCGAGTAGCTCTGAAGTTTTGAAAGATTTTTATATTCGGCTTCAGCACCTCTAAAAACGTCTGCCTGGTTATGAAGCCAAGAACAAATCTTAAAAATATGTAGCTTCTAAATTTTACTCGGTAGCTCGGGTAGGGATAAATTTATCGCGTACGACTCAGAAAAGTTGTCGAGAAAGTAAGAAAGTTTTGAGTACTTTCCTGAGAGCATTTCTACGCGAGATAAATTGCCCTTTTCGGCGTGGGCGACGCTTATAAAAGTTCATAGATGTAATGACGAATAGTTTTTGATTTCTATTGACATGAACCGTAGTCACGATGGCAATGAAGCTATTGAGCAAATGATTCACTGAATTGCTGATCGACGAACAAACTACTTAAGCCCTCGCAACCTGTACTTTGTACTATGGTCTGGCGACTACTATTTGCTGCCCAAATTGATTTGAAATTTGGTGTTTGGGGTCGTTGATTTCTAATCTGATGTAAGACTTTTGAAAATGGTGGATCTATCTATCTATCAATGTGGGGTTATCGGATTCGAAGAAAACAAATTCAAGCTTAAAATAGCGGACCACATTTTTGCCATAACGTAACGATCAAGTTTGAAAAAAAGTTGCAAAAATGCATTTTTCACCTATGTAAGTACTTACATATCATTCTTGATCTGTCCTTTGCGTATGTTTTATATTCTTCGGGGAGCACCCCTTTAATAATATTTTTCAGCAAAAATTTGACTGCTAATTTTTAAACATCTAAAAGCATGGAAAACATCACTATTTGTTGGCATCACATGCCCCTAATTTAGATCAAATTCATGCCGCATGTGTTCAACGAATGAAGTGAGGGCCCAAACCTTGTATGCTCAGTCTCGGGAGTAGTTTTTTATTCGAATCTAAGGGCAGTTGCCAAAAAATGTCACAAAACGTGGTTCTAACGAAACTGCTTTGTTCTAGTCCCAGTGATTCTTTTGGTTAGTTTTTAGACGTAGTTTTTCTGGTAGAATTGCGAACATTAATCGTCTGTGCGAAGCTACACAGTCGCTAACCCAACCGATATCCAAGCGTACTTGGGCACGATAATGTTTTTTACTTTTTTCAGCCCAATCGAAAGGAAGTATAAACTCACATCCCAAAACCACCGTTTAATTAAAATGAATAAGTATTTTCAAAGAAATCACCAATTCCATCTTGATCAAAAAGGGCTTAGTTGCTACTAGCCTGCGTCTACTTGAAGAGACTAGAAAATATTTCGATGCGGTAAACTCTTTGCCTTAATAAAATAGGAAATACAATAGGCAGCTCTATGAATTCTATTCCAAATAAGAAAACAAACAAAGACTAGGTCATATTCAATAAATTAAATTAAATGATAGTGCGATAAGAAGAAACTCGAGCTCGTCGTTTGCTTCACTGAGCCATGCGTCATAGAACTATGCACTTCAGTTGATTTCAAGTCTTGTCCGCGATCGCATTACTAAATAGTTTCCGTGCGTGTACGGTACACATCGACCGCAAGATGCTAAACATTGCCAAGGCATTACTTGCACTCTTGCTACTGCAAATTAGAGCGGATGCTGCATTAGCCAAAGCACCGTCGCCACAGTACAACAATGCAACACTTAAACTCTCGCGGGGCATACAAATGGCAGCATACATGAATGTGAAGGCAAATCCGTGCGATGATTTCTACAGCTGGGCCTGTGGACGTTGGTCACTTAATCATCCAGCGACGCAATCGAAACGAAAAACATCATTCATAGGACTGTTGGAAGATTTGTATGTCAGTAAATGTGCGCAAGCGCTACAGCAGCCCATTAAAAGTAACAGCGCAGCTGCGACTGATATATATTTGGATAATTTGTTGAAAACGGTATTCGATTCATGTCAGGGCATTCAGTCAATAAATATCGTGGGCTACGCACCTATTTGGGATGCTTTGGAGCTGCATGGCGGTTGGCCACTCATAACTGACGGCGAGTGGTTTGAAACAGAATTTGACTGGCTGAGAACGGTGGTGTTGGCGAAACGCAAATTCAATGCTGATGTTTTTATTGGCTTCAAAGTGGTGAAAGACTTGCAAAACTCGGAAACGAATCGCATACAATTAGGCGCACCGCAGCTAGCGTTGGAGAATCCCGACGAGCAACGCAGGTACATAGCGGGCAAGTTGGCGCGCTTCTTTCCCGAAATGTCAAACGCTTGGTCACAGGAAATCGCATCGCAGGTAATTCAAGTCGAAGAGCAATTGGCCAGGGCAGTGTCAAATGCCAGCAGCGAAGATACGCCTCTTGACCGATACGTTGCCGAACTAAAGGTGTCTTATGGCAACTTCGTGGATTTGAGTCGTTACCTCCAACTCATGTTTGATCATTCAATTAACGAGAAGGTCTACGAAACACCAAAAGGTTACTTCAAGAACCTAGTTGATATCATTAGACTAACACCAAAACTGACGCTGGCTAATTACACAATCTGGAAAGTTTTGGATCAATTTGATTTGGGTGGCAGCAAGCATTTCTGCGTGCGTAAACTTATGGAACTTCTGCCACAAGAGCTCGAATATTTTTTCTATCGCAATTACGAAGACTCGCAATTGTTCGTGGAGGTACAGACCCTATTTCGCAATCTAAAATACAACCTTTATGATGAAATTCAAACTTCGCCCAGCTTCAATTGGATATCGCCGCAAACACTGCACAGCTTAAGAGAAAAGCTGAGATCTATGCGCGTGGAAGTTTTGCAGCCGCAGGATATGGTTAGCCTCTTCCAAGGGGGAATTAAACCCGCCGACATGCAAGTCGATCAGTACTACAGCAACCTTATCAATCTATTGGAGTGGCAGAATGAGAAGCAACTATTGAAATTGCATCAGGCCGCCTCGCTACTTAGTGCGCCACAAAGTAGCACACACTATGAACAGAAATTGCTGCCCGCTTACAATGCGCGCACGAATACCATACAATTCCCAGTGATGTCCTTACAAAAGCGCTTCTTCTGGGACCCCGCCTATCCTATGGCCATCAAGCACGGCACATTCGGGTTCATTCTGGCGCAACAAATTGTACGTGGCCTAAGTGAAGATAATAGCGAAAATGACGAACATAAATTGTGGGATGTCGCCTCTGATTTGGCGCTCGCTAAGCGTACCAGCTGTTATGCGCAGCAGGCGCCTTATGCTGCAAAGGAGTTTCACGGCAGAAATGTGACTGATCGGGAGCGGCTGAAGAAGGCACTCATCGATAACGGTGGCCTTTCGATAGCTTACCGCTTATATGAGAAATGGGCACGCGGCCGACACGAGCGTGAGCTAGACGTGCTTCCACGACTATCGATGACACACAGGCAGCAGTTTTTCCTTGCCTATGCGCAGCTGTTCTGTGCGACGGACTTTGAAGATGTAACGCAGTACGAGAATCTACCGGAAGCGTTGCGCGTAAATGGTGCGGCAGCGAATTTGGAAGAGTTTGCAAAGGAATTTCAATGCAGTGACGAGAGTAAACTGAAGCCAAAAGACAAATGTGTTATTTTTTAGTTTGGAATACTTTTGTGTTGAATTTAGTTTTAATTTGCGATATGCATATTTATGTATTTTAGTTAAATTACACTAGAACGTGTACTAAAATACAATTCATTGAATCATTTTAGTGTACTAAGATACGAGTTTTTAAATTTCGATTTTTTTTTCTTTAGTTGCGATATTGATGCAATGGTGTTAAATGAGCATATTTCAATCAAAATTTTCTAAAACTTAGTCAAACAAAGCTAAAGTAAGTAAGTTTTGTAAAAACACATTTTCTGATCCACAGTAGCGAAACTTAGAAAATATTTATAAAGAGGTTTTTAAAAAGTAAGAAAAAAATCTGGTTATCCCAGAACTTTTAAATATCATAAATACGAGTAACCTTGAATCTGTTTGAATTAATTTTCTTTTAAATAAAAGCCTTACTTAATTCTCATAGTTTTATTCCATTTTCGGCTTTCATTTCTGGCTTAGAGTTATGAAAAACGCGAAAAATTTAAAGCAAATAGCCAGGCTAAACCGTTTTTTAAATAAAAAATTAAGAAACGGATTTTTTTTAGATTAACTCGAATACCCGGTTTGGAAAAATTTGATTAATCGAACAATCTAGGACGGATGTATGACTTATTGGTTTTGGAATTAAAACAACTTTGACTTTCTTTTAGATTTTTGGACTGTAAATTGAGGTGAAGCTGGAGTCTCATAGAATTTTTTTCGTACCCTATACGCGAATGACTCCAATAAAATTTTTAAGGATTGCACCAGGCTTATTTGGGCTCAAAACCTAAGCCTCTGATGCCAGTTAGGAAAGTGCATATTGATGAGAGTTACTAGCGATTATTGTGCTTCTCCACACACTATTATCCTCTTCTCAAACAAGGCAT